TCTCTCTCTCTCTCTCTCTCTCTCTCTCTCTCTCTCTCTCTCTCTCTCTCTCTCTCTCTCTCTCTCTCTCTCTCTCTCTCTCTCTCTCTGAGTCTTCTCCTTCGTCGTGGTCTCCTTGCAGGTGCGCGGCGGCTCCTTCCTCCTCAGGTGCGCTATGGCGGACGGTCACCTTCAGCGGCCACCTCTGCTATGGCGCCTCAACCCTGCGCACGACGGCGCCCATGGGACAGCGGGTACCAGCTCCGATACCAGTGCAATCAGACTCAACTTATTCACACTTTTCATGCACGTGAACAGCAGCACAACAAACTGGCGACATGCGGCCACACAGTACACAGAGATATGGCTCCCAGGTAAGTTCACTTCCACTGGCTATGGCGACTGAGCGCCCAACATCTCACTGTTCACACACTGGATCACCCTGGATATCCCACACACGACACTCTGCACATGCACGCAACACACACACACATACTTCTATAGCTATGGCAGCACTAGGTGCCACTACCCTATCGCTATACTACACTTCTCTGCCCACTTCGACTTCGGGCACACTGCAGACCTCCTCGCACAAGACGCTGAGGCAGCGCTTCCGCATGGCTTCCGCAGGAATGAATGAATGGCTGTGCGCAGCCTCTTGATTTATACTTCTGTGAGTCGTTGGTCTGCCCTGCTTCCCTGGCCCACGGTGTGCACAGTCCCAGACGGTACTTGCTTGACTGGACCGGACTGGCTGGACTGGGACTGCTGACTCTGCGTGGTGGACTTCCACCACTTGCCCACTTGCCTAGACCTATAGTGGGCTGACTTCCGAAAGACCACTTCTAGAACTCTTTACATGGCCTTTCGGTACTGTAGCAGCTACGACTCTGCCCTTTCAGGTAAGTAGCAGCTACGACTTTGACCCTTCAGACAGTCTACAGCTACGACCTCTGGACTGTCTAGACTCCTACCCAACAGGTCTACAGTTCGAATCCCCTATACCCTGTAACCTACGAGACCCTACCTACCACTGGCGGTCCTACAGGTCGCAGGTTCAAATCTATGGGTTAACACAGTTACTGTACACTGGTAAGGTGGGGAACTAGGGATCGAGCCCTGGGACCTGCATCAGCTACTGCGAACTGGTGAATACCGTTTCAATCATAAGCCTCAGTATTATCGAGTCTGGATTGAATTCCTGCAATACATTCTCTTGATAATGAATTGCTGCAAATTTGTTGTGTGCGATGTTCTCTTGATTAACAAAAGTAGAGATTGGCAGACGGGCGTTGGAAACAGAGCTGAGGACAGCCATGCCATCTCTGTTGTGCAGGGAATAAAGATACACTTGGAGATCCTGCAACTGAAGGAGGAAAAATGAGAGAGAGGGTAGCCAACTTCTGCAAGAGTTATTACACGGGAGACAAAATGCATCTTGCGGTGCTCGGTGGAGGTAATGTTACATGCTGACCTGGAAAAAAAAATAGAGAAGAAAATTCTCTATGAGAAACAAGAAATGACTCAGGAGCTTGACAAACTCATTCTCTAACAGAGTTTTTCTCTTTCTTCTTTCCCCATCCTAATGTTGTATATAAGCCTAGCGACTGCGGGTGTCCCTGGATGCCGGTTTTTGTGAGTGGGCTGTTGTCGCTCGATGTCACGTCCATGATATCATGTGTACTGGGGTGGGTGGCATCACGTGGACCGGGTGGGACCACAAGGGGCGGGTAATGTCATAAGACTCGTAAAACATCGTAAGAGCACATAGTGAGATAGCATAATGAGATACTAGATAACTTACAGGAAGAATCGATACCACAGGAAGAATACATAACTTACTGCAAAAGATGCAAAAAAAGCAATCCATACCAACGTTTGACACCGTTCACGAATTGCTGTCAAGTCACCCCGCCAAGATGGTGATGGGCGATGGTCATCCAGTGGGTGGTTAACACTAGGGTAGGACAGGGGGGGTAGGGGTGCGCCAGGGCGAAAAGATGAGAGGAAGGGTGGGTGGGGTCTTCAGAGGGGTTCATCTGGACAACCGAATGGCTGATTACTCCTGGGTGACTGTCATCTGTCTAGTATCCCACCTCCACGAAAAAATCTGGGATTCATGGGGAAAAAAAAATAAAAACGTTACTAGCTATTTGGGAACCAGTGGTTTGCAAAGCTTTTTTTTTTTTTTTTTTTGAATCCCAGGTTTTTTGGAGTCAACTGATGGTGGGCGCCATAGCTAGCTAGGGTAGTGAGAGACCAAGAAGACATTCCAAGAGTAAGCAAGGCCTGAGGGTTCACACACACACACACACACAGACACACACACACACACACACACAGAGAGAGAGAGAGAGAGAGAGAGAGAGAGAGAGAGAGAGAGAGAGAGAGAGNAGAGAGAGAGAGAGAGAGAGAGAGAGAGAGAGAGAGAGAGAGAGAGAGAGAGAGAGAGAGAGAGAGAGAGAGAGAGAGAATTTTTTTCTTGGTTGTTGCTGGCGGCCATAGCCCTTGAGCTGTGTACATGCGAACTTGTTGTAGCAATTTCCCAAGTTTTCCTATCTCATGTTTGGTTTCGACTGTCTTGTTATGAAGTGTGCTTTCTGTGTGTCGTGAGATGCTTGTTGGAAGTTTGGGCTCATGGCACTGAACTCTTTTGACAAATGCGGAATTTAAAGTGTGTAGTCCTGTGTGCTGATTAAACTCATACCAAGGTTCCACATTTTTGTTTTCATGCAGAGGACCTGGACACTCTGGAGAAATGGGTGCAGAAAATGTTCTGCGGGATTAGTCATGGTCCATCTGTTCCTCTGGAGGCCAAATGGGAGGGGGGCTCGCCATGGGAGCGCTCAGGAGTGATCTACCGACTGGAGAGTGTGCTTGACACTCCTGTTCTTCGACTGATCTGGTCAGTGCCTGCCAAATTTTACGGCAGAGAACCAACTAGCGCAGTGTATGTTGCCGTCCTGCTTGGCCATGGTAAGTGTGCAATGTGCATCCATTAAAAAAAAAAAAAAAAAAAAAAGTGTCATTCAAACATACATGCTAGCCAGGTGTGAGAGATTTAGACCACCACTGCCCCCGATGAAATCTGGGGCCTGCAGCAACATACATGCTAGCCAGGGAAGAGTCAGCCTACTACTAGCTGAGGGGGCTCGCACGAGTGTGCAACATTCTGAATGGACTGACTTTGACAATGTTTTGTGCCCATGAAATTTTATGGCAGGCAGGGACACAGATTAAAGGCTGATCTTTCGAGCAAAAGCATTAGAGAAATCAACAAACACAAGGGGTAATTTGTTGGGTGCCCCTAAAAGATGCGGCATTTCATCGGAGGGCCCTGAAATTTGCCAAATGCCCTTCTGACAGTGGTCAAATTTGCCAAATATCCATCGCAAACCCAGCATCATTCCCATATGCCCCTTCCGGGTGTCGATTCAACTTTTGCCAGCCAGGCCCATGACACAAAGTTAAACAAAGTTGACAGGGGCATGCTACGAACATTGTGGGTGAGAAGGGGGATTCGCCGAACACTCAATCTTTTTGAGGGCCATCCTACGAAAATACCGGATCTCTTAGGGGCATCCATCAAATTTGTTCAAAACGAAAGCTCGGACTGGCAAAAAAATATAATTGCAACAAAACTAATGCCCCTGTCGTGACCCGACAGGCCTAAAACTTTGCTTGCAGTTTGATCTTGATCTCCGAGCATCGAGGTAGAACTTGCTTGCTGGTGATAAGCACTGGTAGGTTTAACTTTTTTTGAGTGCCAGTTCAGATCTTGATCTCCAAACGTCGGGGTCGAACTTGCTTGCTGGTGATAAGCAACCAGACTGATGCTTCCCAGAACAGAAGGGGCTTGTTATGCTCAGTCCGGTTGGTTATCACCACCAAGCAAGTTCCCAATGGGAAAAATGGGAAAAATGGGAAAAATGGGAAAAATGGAAAAAATGAGGAAAATGGGGAAAATGGGAAGAATGGGAAAAATGGGGAAAATGGGAACGGAGTTCAACCAACCCTCCTTCCCAGAACTTGCTTGCTCGTGATAACCAACCGGACTGATGCTTGCCAGTGTTGGGAAAAATGGGAAAAGACTTCAAAAGAGCCTACTCCAAATAGTTTGGAGGTCCCGATGAGGCTCGGCAGGAAAGAAAGGAAAAGAAAAGATTGCGACCCTATGAGCCCGCGGTGATGGAAAAAAAAAGGTAAAAAAACTGAACTTCGAATCCAGTGTTGGTTCTGGTGGCCTGATCAGGGCTGAAGAGGTGGTTCGGCAATGGGGTCCTCGGTTACGGCTAAACTCCTATTTGCAATTGTCATCTGCGCGGAGGTGATGGTGGTATGGGAAGACTATCTTCTTCACCTGAATACATCGTACGGTCATTATTGCTGTATTTAGACTGAAAGATACCCTAAATAGTAAATACAGCAATAATGACCATATGATGTATTCGGGTGAAGAAAGTAGCCCTGTTATGGTCCTTTTGAGGTAATGTGTGGCCANAAAGTAGCCCTGTTATGGTCCTTTTGAGGTAATGTGTGGCCATTTCCTTTGGCGATATTTTCACTCTCGCCCCCCTCTTTTTTTCTCTTCTCACTCCCCTTCTTCCCTCCCTGATGGATCTGGAGTTGAGTTCAGGTAAGAGCATGTTCAGACTCCAAAATTCAAACTCTCTTGTAAATGCGAGGCTCGAGGCCTCGATACGCCCTACTGGGCCCTATCTTCAGAACGATCGGCCGCCCTAAGTGAAGGCAGGCTCGACCAAGGCCTACAGGCCCATTATTGGGGTCACCACACAACTGGGGAAATTCAGGCAGTTGCACAGCGCCAGTTGGTTGAGAGCACCCAGGCCAAGGCTGCCTCTTTCATATGTAACCGAGGCAGGCCCTGGGCCAGATTCGCCACATGGACTGAACACAGGCCGCGGACGGTTGGACACGGGCAACCACCACAGGCCCAGGGCCTGATTCGTTTGGACTAGGGCTCAGACTCTCTGGGCCTACCGGAAGCTTCTGGGCAGGGGCCCAGCACAGCCAGGCTGCACGCAAGCAAGCACGCCACTTCCATTTAGGAAAGGACCTGCCCACGCATTCGGCATTCGGGCACTGGCTGTATGCTGCACTAATGCTGGACAGCGCTCACGCGCTCACGGGCGAGCTGGAAGCAGCAGGCAGCCATAGCCGAGCTGCGCTTGTAACGAGCGTGAGGCTGAGGGTGAGCCGAGGGAGAGGAGAGAGAGGGAGAGAGTGAGAGCACACACACACACTCACTCACTCGACACGACGGACTCGGACTGAGGATCGGACGCAGACACAGTGGCAAGGCACAAAGTCGAAGTCTTGGATTCCGAATGCCGAAACAGCAAGTCACACTGAGTACTAGTACAGCAGCAGAGAACTGGTACGAGACTGGTCCCCGTACCGTACKGGGAGCCGGTATAAGTACCGGTGACATGTACGGTACCAGGGGCATTTCTGCAAAGGCCCCGAGGGCAGAACTGAAAAATGCAGTATTTGAAAGTGGCGCCCGAATTGCAGCATGGCGCCA